GGACAAACAAGCAATGCCATTTGTCTGTCTAAAATTGTTCAGAATAGCTTGCATACCTGTGTATAATCCTGCTTTAAAGAGACAACTAGAAATAATACTTTTTTTTGTCATTATTTTTAGGTATGCTGTGTGAATGGGAACACATAACAAACGAATATTGAGGGTGTCTCATATTTAACTGCAAAAATAGGACCAAACTTTAAAGCCCCCTACTAAAATCCCTGGCCCTTATGCCTCCTAATCCTCAGGATCCTAAACTAAAGCCCTCGATGTTTTAAGCCTCCTAAGGTCCTCTAAAGAATTTAACACTATAGCCCTGATCCCTAAAAACCTCACCCTCAAAGTCCCCAGCCTTAATTCTTCTAAACAAAGCCTCTAAACCAACTTCCTTAACGTTATACCACCTAAACAAAAGCACCGACACTCTGGGGTATATTTATAAATGGTTTGCAGAGTCATTTGATCTGCAAAACTGATGGTTACATTCATTCTGTGCAGAGGCGTAACCAGATCCTTCAGGGCCCCAGTGAAAGAAACCATGAAGGCCCCCCCCCCCAACCCCACGACACTGCATGGTTAACAGGAAGGCTGCCGAGGTCCCCAGCAAGCGTGGGACCTCAGGAACCCTCTTAGTCCGCCCCTAAGAGGCGGTTACCAGCTCATTCTCTGGGATCAGTGACAGCGTCTCCAGCCCTTTCGCACAGCCGCCCGTACATGCTGCGGGTGGCTGTGCGACAGGGAAGGAGCGGCACGATCGCGGGGGGGCCCTCTACTTCCTTGCTGGGCCCCCCTAAGTGGCGGAACGCCAGGGCCCGGTCGCAATTGCGACCGCACTACTTCCTTGCTGGGCCCCCCCAAGTGGTGGAACGCCAGGGCCCGGTCACAATTGCGACCGCTGCGACCCTGGTAGTTCCGCCAGTGATTCTGTGCAAATAGGGCAAAACCAAATGTTTTCTCGTGCAGAACAAATGCAACTTTCAGAAAATACCACATTATGGCCACTTCATGGAGACGAAGAGCATAGGAAACAAATACTTTGGGCATTCTATTGTGTGTGCACTAAAATTCCCAGCACCATGTGTCAGGGTCACATCACTCACCTGCAGAAGCATCCTCTTGCAATAGCTGTCATCGTGGACAAAGAAGATGTGATTTTATTTCCCCCTCATTTGCATACTTATTCTGGAACAGTGGCTCAAGATGTACTTAAAGTGTATCTAAACCCCAACACTCTTATTTGCTACCGTCTATTAAATACATAATTGAAAGTGTGTTGTTGTATCAGTTTGATGAGTGCAAATAAAAACAAAAAAACACCTGCTGATTATGTCTGAAATTCAAAGCTGTCTATCCTGTGCTATCTCAAGGAGTCTAAATAACCCTCTTGGTTATTATCTTGGGACCACAGAACAAATAGATCATATGCTGTGGAGATGAGGACAGTAGGAGGGATGCAGTAGTTTAGCAGAAGAAACCCTGTGCAGGGCTGACACCATTTGGTTTGCAAAAATGTAGTCAGCCCACAACATGAGATTAGGAGCCGAGTGCATTTTTGGTACAACGCAGGTATTTTTCTATAATTTACAGGGCTTTTAAAGGGATAATACAAGGGCAAACGTGCATGTATTTCTAAGGTGTACCGCCTATGTCATTGTTTTCCACTTTGCCCTGACATACACTGTAAGTCAAAAAAAGGAATCAGCATAACAGTATTTGCACACAACATATATAGTATCTGGATGTTTACACAGGGAAGTTGTGTGTATATATGGTTGGCACTTATCTTCTGTCACCATACACATTTTTTCAACAAGGGATTGCACCTACTGATGAATCAATGTTGGATGGCTTTTCTTTTGTCAACTTAACTTTTGTATAACTTTCCTAATGTATGATTATCTGGTCATTTAGTGGATGTATATATACATTAATAAAGAATAGAGGTATGTAGTCCTGATATTATTATGGTTTGCTACCCTATAGGACACAGTTGGGTCTCCTCTTCTTGGATACCATGTCTGCGGCTCCCCTGGGGGGGGGTTAGTCGGATCCCGCAGTGTTTTACAATCATAACATGGTATGTTGAAATATTATGGACACTGCACCCGATCATTAATGGATCACCTTATGGGTCATGTATAGAACATAACATGTTGTCCTGATCTAATTTTATATTTGGAGCAAACATGTGATTTTATGCAACTTGATTGTAATAAAATTTGTTAACTTTTATGCGATGGTGTTTTTTATACCTTACAAGCCCCATTCTATGGTTTCTCCTTTGACCTTGCTGCCAAAGGGGTATTTAGTTTGAATTTTACAGGGGGTGTGGCATAAAAAGCTGGCCTCTTGTGATTACAGTGCTACTATATTTCAAGCTTGCTTGTTTGCCGACAAGCTGAATCACATGTTGGCTTCTTATATGTCCTTGAGATGCCAGTGGTAAGATCTACCCAACGTAATTTCGGCATCCACTCACCTTCTGTACATACTCAGGGGACAGTATCACATTCCTCCAATAGGTTCTTTGTAATGCAAAGCAAAATAATAAATGGGCAAACCAGTTGCAGGACTGTGACACCTCATAATGGCCTTACGGGAAAGCATGGGGAGGAAATTCTTTGAGGTTTTAGGAGAAAAAAAACAAGCTGGGTTGAGATAAATTAGCGCTTATCCAAAATGTAAATATTGTTTTTGGTTGGGGTTAGCCTTTAATGATAAATAAAAGTAACCTGTACTTAGAGAGACATTGAGGATGCCATTGATGATCTGCTTCTGAAAGTTCTATTTACATGGGTCACTTTTGCTTCAGTACTTCGATTAAACCCAGAACAAGCTTTGTTTTAGGTCAGTAATACGAAAAAAGTGGAAGCCATTTTATCAGTATGGGATCCAGGCCAGCACTTTGAGAAAGCAATGGCAGCCTACACGGTCCCTCTAAAGCAATGGCAGCCTACACGGCCCCTCTAGTCCTTTAACAGATGTACTCTATACCCTGTATTACAGAAAATTAGGGATGCACCGATATATCGGCCGCCGAAACATATCGGCCGAAACTGGCACTTTTGGCATAATGCCGAAAGAGCCATGTTTCTGCCTCTACATCGGCGCATCCCTGGTTTCTTTTCTCCCCGTTGGGCGCTGCTCTGTGTTCCAGCGGGGAGAAAAGAAAGTGACAGCCGGCCGAGCGCTGCAGGACGAGAGCGCTGTGAGCGGCCGGCGTCTCTCCTCCCACACCGCTCAGCCGCCTATTACAGTCCGGCAGAGCGGTGTGTGGGCGGAGACAGCCAGCGCTGTCACAGGAGGCAGAGCTCTCCTCCCACAGCGTTCAGCCGCCTATCACAGCCCGGCAGAGCGGTGTGTGTGGGCGGAGACAGCCAGCGCTGTCACAGGAGGCTGAGCTCACCTCCCTGCTCCGCTCGATCAGCCTCCTGTGACAGCGTGTCAGAGAGGAGAGCGAGCACAAACACTCAGTGATCGCTGAGTGTTTGTAGATAATTGAGGACATGGTATGTTAACTATATCCTCAATTATGAATGAATGGGAGTGAGCTACATCACCTCATGTTCATTCATAGTTGTAGGTATAGTAAACATATCATGTCCTCATGTTATCAATGAACAGGAACACTCATAGAGGATTCCTGTTCATTGATAACAGGGGA